TTAATAGATCCTTAGCGTATCTGTTATTCTAGATCATTTATCTTTGACTTACCTGCGTCGCTGAAATTTTCATCTGTCCGTCCTTTTAGTTTGATGTTTTTGATTAGTGTAGTAGTTGTTTCATCATCATCGTCACGGTTCTACAGCCCTTCAAGTGCTTTGACTCTCTTAAGCTTTCTGCACCATTCTGCTCTGTCCCTTACCTTGTATTTTCCAGTTGGCAACACCAATTTTTTCAGCAACCTATTTCACTTTAACTATCCACCTCATCTTTGATCTGACCCCACCGGTTGCGCTGTTAAAATCTTTTTGCATATTTTTTTTATCTGTAGTAGTTCTTCATAGGTATCTACATTTTCATTGTTCTTAAAGAAACGAGAACTCAGTCGTAGAGAAGTAGATATACCCATCGAAGTACCGATTAAGACGCTACAGTGACCAATTTCAAAACGATACTTACTTTAAAAACATTCAAATACAATAATTTTAATAAAAAAGTAGACATTTTCACAAGTTTTATTGTTTTATCGTAAGACAAAAGATTCTTGTGGTTCCATTTACTTTTATTCACTACAAAAATAATAATCTAACCTCACATAACCTTATCTTAAGCGAATACTCGCACGTAAAACAAATTTTCGCCAAAAATCAAATCAAGTCGACCAAAACTATCCTGCAGGAAATAGTCATGTCATTTTAAATATTTTCTAAACAAAAATAATAAAAATTACAGAAAATAAATAACTCACAAAACAAATTAGTGAGTTTTCTGAATGGTGGACCTTGACGTGGTTCTTGTCGTGGCAAATAAAACAATATTAAAACCAAATAATAGCTTGTCTTGTTGATAAAACCATAAAATTTGTAACAGGATTCATTAAAAAGTAGCAAACATTGTGATTCAAATATTTCAACCTAATCTAACTTAACCTAAAAAAAACTTTATTATTTACATACTAAATGTGACATATTCAACCGACAAAGCCCTACTCCAAATTGTTATCGATAATTATAGGGGTTAATTATGGAGACAGTACGAAACTGATTTAGTATTTAAATTCATACAAATAATTTGAACTTTTTTTTTAAAATTGTCTCAACTTTAACTCCATATCCGAGCAACGTAACCTCTTAATTCATTTAAAAATATAAAAAAAAATCAACTAGCGAGAATTGCTTGGGGTAGAGTGGGGTCGATCGAATATAGAAACACCCTGCAGATGATTTGTGAGTAAAACGTGTGAAATATAATTCGAAAAATCGAATTCACTGATCTTCAAGTAAAGTGTGATCTGTAAACTATGTGCAATATTTTAATACTTTTACTTTTTCATTGTAATTATTCACTTATATTTATGAATGTATATATTTTGACAATATACTATTACCAATATAATCATTTCTTTTATTTCTTTCCCAAAATTATTGTTTTTTTTTCGAAGTAACATAAGAATATAAGTAAGTAAACGATCACTTAAAAATTAAGTTAAATAATATTTTATATGAGAATAAATTACCATTGATTATAAGGAGAATTACATTTTACATTTGTTTTGGTTGTACATGTTTATAAGGGGTTTTGGTTGAAAATACAAATTTGACAGATGACTTACTTGGCCTTGATCTTATATGCAGTAACCATGTTTTGAGGGTGAAATTCTGAGAGTTGTATCCTTGGATTGTTATCAAATTATGATTTTTCTGTGCTAGTTGTAGTTTAATTAGAGACGATGTTTCTCGAAGCTCGATAATTTTGACATATTTTTATTCCTAACTTCTTTCAGTATTGATAACCAGAATCTGCTACATTCTATAAATGTGTTTGCTACATGTTTTTCTTCATTTAGTAAGATAAGGGCTGCTTCTGTACTTTTCCCCTTTTTTACTGTTTGTTTCCTTCACAACTAATATTGCATCTTTCATTTGCACTCCGTTTCCCAGGCAAAGGCATTTCCGGAAGAAAAAGCCTGCTATCAAAAATTTTAACAAAAAATAATTGTCTATTGCCATTTATAAATAATCAATTCACAAGATTAAAAAAGGGTAAAAACAAACACCAAAAATTGGTTGGTATAGGCAATCATCATTATCATTATTCTCAGCGTATTCTACCGATTAATACTACCTTACATAGTCGTTCTTCATTTCTGCCTAGGATTGTCTAATATTCGCTTTTCTGCGCCATGTTTTACTGGCTTGTTTCCTTATATCATAGTTTCATCTTAAATTTGGACGTCTTCTTGGTCTTTTGACGCCTCTTGGATACCACAGTGTTATTTTATTAGACCATCTATTGCCAGTTTCGATCTCTCTTTGTTATACCTATCATGCATTGCTCCATTGTCCTTTGAGTGACGATATTATCGATATTATTATCTCTTTCTTGAGTTTCCAAGTTTCGCAGCCGTATGTCATGATGGTAGTATACACTTATCGAATGTTTTTTCTCTAGGCATCTTCGATTTGAATATATTTTCTGTTGATTTTTGAGAGTAAGGAGTCAGATTTGTGGCTCCTTACACTTACTCCTTACTTAGAACATCCACTAGCTCGTTGTACATGATTTTTGTTTCTGTCAAGCTCATTTTTAAGCCAACTTCATTGCTAGCTGCATTTAGGTCGCTTATAATTTCTTGTATTTTTGCAGGGTAATTAGCAATCAGAACGATGTCGTCTGAAAATCTTAGATGGCTACGGTATTTCCATCAATGGATAGGCCTTTGTTCTGTCTGCCTACTGAATATATTTTCTAAAGTTGCAGTGAAGAGTTTTGATGATATTGCATTTCCTTGACGTACGCCTTTGGTATTAGGAAATTCTGAAGTGTTTTTATAAATTTTTACTTTAGCTTTTATTTGTCTATACATATTTGCTTAAGTCTCTATGCACAGTTTGTGTGAATGCCTTGGTACGTCAAAGCTTCTATTATTACCTTGGGATATATTAAATTTAAAGCCTTCTCGAAATCTATGAAGGTTATTGCTAACAGTATTTCATATTCTTTAGCTCTACTCATTGGTTCTCGAAGTGTATGGATATGATCCAGGGTACTGATTCCACTTTTGTAACCAGCTTGCCCTCTTGGCTGTGCAGCATCTAATACATTTGTTAATCTGTGAATGATGATCTTTGTGAATATCTTGTATATAATTGGTAGTAGACTTACAGGTTTGTAGTTTTTGATATCCTATTTGCTACCTTTCTTATTAATGAAAATTATGTTTGCTGTGGTCTAGTACCTGGATATCATGATGGTATCTTGATCTTAGTCAGTTCGTAAATATGCCTGCTAAGATTTTCCAGGTTTTTTTGCCAACCTATTTAAGTAGTTCTACTGTTTATGCCATCTATTCTAGCTGTTTTGCCGCTTTTCATTTTTGTAATTGTCGATTCTACTTCTTCTGGAAGAACTTCTGGTACATCTTCTTGGTTACTAATTGCTTCTTTAAGTGTTTCAGGGGTTTTGTATGGTTCACTGCAATATTTAGTCACGAGTTGTATTATTATTTTATTTTTGTCTGTAATTCTGCAAAATTTATTGCCTTTCTTGTTTTCTTATAGTTTTTTTTCTGTTTTAGATTGCATTTTCTATCAGTCTTTCATTGTATTTTCATATGACTTCCATAATATTTTTCCTTATTGTCTTATAAAGTTCTGTGTATGATATTTCTCTGTCTGTTGCTAATTAAACTCATTTCCCTTCTTTGTTTTAGTATTATTTTAGTTTTATCAGACAGTTTACTATGTTGTGTGTTGCGTGCCTACGATTTCTTTGCCACTGTCAAGGATGATTTCCTTTAATTGAGAGCTGTCGATTTGGTTACGCAATTTTTCATCAATTGTACTTTGGTAGTAATCTGAGTTTTCTTTTAGATTGTTAATATTTATACCGGTTACTGTTGATTTTGTGAGTAATTTTCTTTCTAGTTTTCAGATCTAGAACAATTTTTGCTCTGATTAGTCTATGTCACTGCCTGTTTGAAATTTATTTATTACACTGACATATTGTTGGATAGAACATTGAAGACATTGTAGCAATCTTGTTGGTAAGAATGAAGTCAATTTCGTTCTTAGTGGTTCCATTTATGGCTACCCAAGTCCATTTTCTGTTTGATGTTTTTTAAAGAATGTATTTGCAATGGGCATGCTTTGGTAGTGAGCAAACTGTACCAGTTTTTCTCTTCTTTCATTGCTTTCATCGACTCAATACTTTCCCATGACTTGTTTCTTGCCGTTTCTCTTTCCACTTTGGCAATAAAGTCCCCAATTAAATACTTAAAGTGACTTTTATTGTTATTTAATGGTTCAGTTGTGTTACTGTAGAGTTCCTCTATTTCTTTCTTAGTGTGAGTAATCGTTTTTATCTCAGGCCCATATTTGTACAATTTGTATATTATACCTCTTTGATAGTTGTAAGGTTAGGCTAGCTACTCTATCCGAGATGCTAATTATTTCTACAACTCTTCATTTCTATTTCTTGTTGATAAGGAATCCAATACCGCCTGTTCTGCCCGTTGATGTCCCTCAGTAGTAGAATGTGTTTTCTTGACACTAATTCCAATAACTTTTCATCTTACTTCGCTGATTCCTATGACGTCCCATTTTATTTGTTCAGTTTCTTTTTCAGTTATATGTCGCTATATAAAGCGTTATTGTTTTATTTGGGTAGCGGTTTTAGACTCCGGAAATTCTTAGCACCGTCAGCTCTCCTGGCTTTGATCCCGAAAGCTACCCAGTTCAATACCATTTGGGCCTAGGTTACCAAGCTGCCACAGTACGAGTTGGTAAGGGTTATTGGCATGTTCCGATTATAAGGTGCCGAAACCCGCCTTTTACCCTCCTCCTTCTGCTATATATCGTACTCGTATCGTATCGTATTTACTGGAGATTTTAATGGACACAAGACCCTCATACACAAAATCTATTCTATATAAATCTACGTAATATAAATAACTAAAATAAAATAAAACATTAAATGGATCTTTTGTTTTTTTTTTATTTTATATAAAAAAATTACACAACGTGCAAAGGGGTATAAAATGCATGTATATTAAAAGTGTTATATAATACTGTGTATCAAATGACAGGACCTAGAGTTTCATCTTAGTCCAGCAGCTCTGAGCTCCATCAATGCGCTTTGAGTGATAATCCCGTGGGTCTTGCCGACATGGTTGAAGTTAATGTTTTTAGTTATTATCTTCTTTTTCGCAGCTTCCGATGACGACTTTTTCACAGCCGAACGACAATCACCGCCGGCTTTCATAACCTCACCTAAAATTGATCATTAAATTATACTATAATTACACCAAAAAAATTAAGTCGATCAAGATTAAGTAAGTACATTTATCTCAAACAGTAAATATACGACCAACTTTTACGTAAATACGAAGAACTATTTAGCGAGAACAAACCTCAAAAACCTTTCTACCATATAATAGTGTAAGATTTAATTTATTTCTTAACAAGTATCTTCCCGATTACTTCATCCCATGTCTATCTTGGTTTTTCCTTTTTTTTGTTTTTGAATATTGTTGCTTCACACACTCTTCTCACTGGTACAGTATCCTTTATCCGGTGTAAATGATCCCACCAACTCAGCTGTCTCTCTTCTATAAACTTCGTTCCTTATATCTGTAATCTATATTGTATCCATTTTTTTAATCGCCTTTGACTCTTCTTAAAAACCACATCTCTATAGCCTATATCTTGCTCTTTTGCCGTTCTGTTAGTACCCATGATTCACTGCCAAAAGTAAGGACAGGTCCATAAACTGCTTTGAAAACTTTCATTTTTGTATTCCGTGATATTTTCTTATCTGCATATAAATTTTTTGTTCATTGTATAGTGTGTTAGTTGTAGTGTTTTTCTCTACTCTGCAATTGATTTCTAATCTGTCTGCAACTGATTGTATGGGAAAGTAAAACCGTTGATTTTAAAATTTTTCTTATAATTTCATCATATTTTCTCACCTATTTAAACCTTCCTAGGACTTTAAATAAATTATTTCAAAACCACATTTAGCCAAATCAATTGAGTCGTTCTAGATTTATTATAAACAAAGTTATAAAAATATAAAATGAATTTTATGATATTTTATAACTATATGGATCAAATGAACTAAAACTGTAGAGGTGAAGTCGTATAAAACATTTTGAATTTACAGTTTAAAAAAGGGCCATTCATCGAGATACAAATATCCTATCATCTAAGTTGGACCAACAAATACACTTTCACATAATTGTATTGCAATATGTTTAGTGGTTTTTAAATATTAGCTTGGACAAACATCGTGACACGAAAATATTTGGTCTGAATTTGACAGAAGTAAATGAATGTTTGATTGATATAAGGTTGTTATAGGATAGAACTCTATCTGAGACTATATTTTTTCTACCTGATTAGCATTTTTAACTCGAACTTATTATATAAAATAAAAAAAATCACACGAAAAATTCATCATTTCTTTACTTTATTAAGAACGATTTATCCAGTTGTGATATAATTATACTGTAAACTCTCGTTAATTCGAAACTTGAAGAGGGACTTTTAAAATATTACGAATTATTGAGTGTTTGGAAAATATCAAATGATTCGAAATTTGTGAGAGAAAATAAATAAAACTTCGAATTATTAAGTGTTGATCAATTATTATTTATTAACTGCTATTCTATAACGATGACAAACGTTTGGTACATTCGTGTACATGCGTGTATGTATTCATAATGTGAATTAATCAATCTTTCGAAAGAACTGTATTATACTGGTTTGTTTTAAAGCACATTGCTGCTGCTCAGACTGCTCAATAATTTTTTTAAGAGAAAAGTACTTAAAATGCTTTTTCATTACATTCGTTTTGTAGACAGAAGGTTTGTAAGGTATCGAATGAGGATCTTGCTTCCTTAACTGACACCCTTGCCAAAGGTTCTGATGTATCGTGCTCATCTTCATCGTTAATTTTTTCATTCGTAGCTGTCGCAGATAAAATTTCACTATCGGTTAGTGAACATGAGAAAGCAACATCTTCATTCACTTAAACAAAGTCAGAAAAAACTCACACCGCTGATGTCAACTAATGATTCTATTGCTGGTTCTTCATCATCCATAAGGTTTGGAAGATTTTCCTGATCTTCTTTAAAAAAACCAGATTTTTTGAAGTAGTTGATAATTGTTAGGGGTGTTACACCTCTTCATGCCTTGCCAATCAGTAAAATAGCTGTCAGAACCGTGATATTGGCAGTTATCTACTTGTCGAAAGCAGCGACAGCAGCAGGAAACAAGCTTGACAATTTCTTTGCGATAAAACGTCTTCAAATTATGGATGATCCCTTGGTCCAATGGTTGCAATTGGAAGTTGTATTTGGCGGAAAGAAGTAGATTTCCACGTTGGACAATGTAGGAGGACTGTTGTGACAGTGCAATTGTCTAAAAATAGTAAAATTGCCCGCTTTTGCCGTTTCATGTCCACATTAGCTGTTAAAAGCCAATTGTTAAAAAGTTCTGTCATCATCCAAGCTTTTTGTTAGCACGATAATCGGTAGGAAATGATTTCACATCTTTGAAACATCGTGGTTTAATTTCTTTTCCTATCACTACCTGGTTGTTTTTCCGATCCGTCCATAGTTACTGCAAGTAAAACTGTCCAATCTCTCTTTTCTATGTTTTCCCCCATAACATTTTTCATCTTTAAAAGTAAGCATCTTGTCCGGTAAACATTTGAAAAATAGGCCAGTTTTGGCCTATTTTTGGCCAAACTTTGGCAGTTTGAGCAGCATTAATTTTTTCCTTGTGTTTTATTATGGTTGACAAAGTACTCAGAGGAATCTTAAATTCTTTTGCAACATCACTTTTCTTCTCACCTTCCTCTACTTGAGGGACTCATGACTCATGGCTCATGGCTTGAAGGCTCATGACTAACAAAATTTTAATCTGTATACCAACGTAAAGAGCAACATGAACTAATAACTAAACTAACCAATTCGTGAAAAGTGTGTAGTCAAATTAATCATAAAAAAAACAAAGACGCGTTGATACAAGTTTGAACTGTACTAAATACAATCTTTCTGCTTCTTTCTTTCTGCAATTCGAATTGTCGAGTGTTGGACGCCGATGAGTTCGAATTAACGTATCGTTTTGTTATATAGCACTGATTTTTTTTGTTCGAATTAACAAGTGCATAAAAATGTATTGATTTAGTTCGAAATATAAAGAGATTTGTAGGGAACATCTCGTGATAACTTTGAATTACATAGGTTTGCAGGTTTGAATTACCGCGAGTCGACTGTAGCATACTCACCTCTGTGTAAAGTAACAGGAATTGTTGGTCTTGATACAACTTTCGAATCCGATTTCATCGTCGTAGCATGGATCCAATGGTTCTTTTTGCTCGCTATCTTAGGTTCTGAATGTGAAATATATGATTTTTCTTGTACTGTCACATGATGCTTAAAATAGTTTTCAGTGTTTTTAGAAACCTTACAAAAGAAGAACAGTTATTTTTATTGTGTATAAAGAGGCACGTCATCTCTACTAGGTACTACATCTACAGATGGAAAACGAACCATACCAAATAAGGCGCGGTATATCACAAAAACTACTTAAAACATGCAAATATAAGTGTATTTTCTTTAGTTTTTATGGTGAATTTGAAGATTATAAAGTGTGTACCTACAAACAAAAGTATAAGTCAGCTACATTATATTTCAATTAATGTCTTAGTATAGTATATTTATAAAAAGGGAAAAACCAGGTGGCTTAGTTGTATCGAAATATAAACGAGTAAACCTTATCTAAATGAGTGAGGCAGGAATGAGTTTAACGACCACTTTTGTTTAGCTTATAGTCTCAAGAAAATTTCAAAAATACTCTCAATAATATTAAAGCGGAGGTTTTAACTGAAGAGACTTTTATCTTCACCTACCCAAAATAAGTACATAACTCTGCTAACATCCATAATTTATATAGAAAAATTAAAGAGAGAGAGAGATAAGTTTATGGACACTACAGATATTAAACGTTAAAGAATTACCTTGGAGTAAACTTGAGGTACAAAACTTTTTGGCTTTACGAAATGAGATGGTTTAGATTGTCTTTGATTGTGCGACGCCATCAGTTCGTATAACTTATTTCGATAATCGTCTACAGATAGCCTGACATCATCGTTTAACGGCACCTGAAATCAAAAGTAGTAATGTAGAATAAATTTTATTTAAGATTGCAAGAGGTCTCTACTTCCTCTAAAGTCTCCCACAATAATTTAAAAACAGGTTTATAGTTACAATTGAGATTGATTTGTGTGTTTAAGCAACAATAAGAATTCAGTTTTATTTCTTTGGATATCTCAAGGTCTTCTAAAAGGTTCATAAGTATACAATTTTTATTTGGGATGTTATGTAAAATTTTACTGTTTTTGGAGAAAAGATTACTTATTACATTTAATGTGATGCCCAAAGTTTGATTTATGTGTTATTGAGATGGTCTTTGATTCTTTGAGCCAGGGTTCTCATTGTTTTACCTACGTAAGTCATGTTACAATCACCACAAGACAATTTATAAATACCACTTTCTTCTTCTTTTTTTACTATTGGCGTGAATACTAGTGCATCTGCCAGCACATTTCTTTATATTGAATTCGTCTTTTTCATGGAAATATCACTTGTTTTGTTCATCAATTTTGTCTTTAGTTTTGCTAAAAATGGACTTAATTGTATTTGGTTTTAAAAGAGATGTTTAAGTTACTGATTTTATAAAAAAAATACTCTTGATTTTTTTTGTGAAATTGGTCCGATATAAGATAACGATCTATAAATGGATGTAGTGTTTGGTTTGTTTTCCACATTAAAAAGCTTGGTTTAATATCTTTTTAAGTTTTGACCTTCTTATAACCTCATATACAGGAGAAAGAGGAAAACCATTATTGTTTGGTATTTGTTTATTGATTGTGATTTATTTATCATTAGTTATCTTGGGACATAGGGATGTTAAGAAGTCTATAGACATAACTTTGAACAGAAAAGAATAAAGAGAAAATAATACTCTACTGACAAACCATTTATTGGTTTTTATAATAAATGAAATAATTTTTCTTCCTAGTGCTTACCGTGACTGACATTTCAAGAGATATCTCCTGATCAGGATTGTGGAATCTCGCAATATAGGAATGTTCCAAAGCTTCTTCTGCTGTAAGTCTGTCGTGTGGGTTAAACACCAATAATCTATTTATAAGATCGATTGCATCTGAAGGTACATTGTTGCCTAGGATCGAAACAAGGGGGATTTTTTGAACTGCAGACGCATTTTTGATCATTGAAGATCCAATGCCGGAAATACAGACCATATTTATATCTACAAAATAATTGTATTATTACTTTTATGTAAAATATAATTAATAAATTCGATTTTAACGAAACTAAAGGTGGTAAGTCTCCCGGGCCTGATGAAGGATTCTATCAATTACTCAAAATTGTGAATACTGAATCTACTGATCTTCTTTTGGATCTATTCAATACCATATATAAAACAGAATGAAAAAACTTTTTTGTGTTATAGCGATATCAATATATCTGACTGTTAACACATTCTTTTAAACGACTGAAAAAAGTGGACAAAATTAGTCCCAAATAGATTATTTCATGAGAAGAAAAGAAGATATAAGGTAATGCTAGAACTGCAAGGTAATAGTTAATGAAACTGTGAGCCAGAAACATAAATTTTCTTGTACTGGGACATCGAAAGTAAACAGCGAACCTAAACCAAAATATCGGACACTAACACACAAAATCAAGTGATGTGTGTTAAAAAATGGGAAAAAGGTCTGTTCAGGGCAAAAATTGGCACTGCTACAATTTGAAGAATATTGCTATTATCATTAGATATACTGCTGCTGAAATACTTAAAAAACACCTCACGAAATATGGTTGATAATAAAGGGACCTGTTGTTGATCAATCGAAATTCAAGAAAAAATAAATGAGAAGAGTAACATAAAAAGTGACAAGAAAATAAGTGTTACACAGATCTTCACAACTTTGAGAAATTCAATTGTTTTTGTAAACATATGCACAGGCTTCTTACAATTGCTAAAGCTACTTTTACCTTCTTGACTTGGCGTAGGAATGGTCGCCATTATCTTCTCTACTTGGTTTACCGTAGATGTTCCTGGAAATATAGGTTTTCCTAAAACCATTTCTGCAAGAATGCATCCTATGCTCCATAGATCTATGCCTTTTGTATACCTCCTATTAGCTATTAAAATTTCGGGTGCTCTATACCACCTCGTTGCTACATAGTCAGTCAGTGTAGGATCACCATCTGATCCGTTGACGGATCCTTCTGATCCTTGTGAAAGAGATCTGGCTAATCCAAAATCTGCTATCTTACACCTATAAAACACAGAATAAACATTATATGTAATTGATGACTGTTATGGCTAATCTAAAAAATAATCCATTTAATTTCTTTTTCTATAATGAAAATGTCTATTTTACGGTTCAATCATATGGCAAATATAGAATCAATAAAGAAGTTATGTATGTTAGATAAAATGTAGCGACCCGTAAAATAAAAAGAAAAATTTAAAGTTTTGCGCAGTTTAAACAATAGGGTAGTTCATATTGCTCTATATTACAGTATATTTTCACCTCTTACATGGCTTTTTCGATCTTATTTCTACATGTCTTCTAGGTCAACCTCCTTTCTTAATCCTAAAAAGCACCACTTTATTATTTTCTTCATCCAGCTGCTGTCAATGGTTTTCTTTCATTTCTTCACTTACACCTTAATATTCTATCTCCTCTATATTAGGGGTGGATACTTTAAGTTGTAGCATCAAATGACTCAAGTAAGTAAAAGTTGTTTGAATACTGTTACGTTCAAGCCTTTGCTACGTCATTGATACCAATTCTAACAGAGTTCTATGATGTTCTGACGCAAGAAGTCTAGAAACTGGTCGAACGATTCAAAGCAAGACTTAACAGCAATTAGAGCAGAGGTTCCCAAACATTTTTGTACCACGCCCTCTTTTGTTGAAATTAAAGTTTTTAGCGCCCTCACCCCTTAAAAATAGATTCTATCGGCCTAGGAATAAAACAAAAACAAATAAGTATTACATAGAGGACAAAAAAATATTAATGAAAGAAATATAGATTAGGTTGGTTAGTGAGATGGATGTGCTTGCATTTTCTTTACTAGTATGCTTATTCGTGCCTGAGTTTTAGTAAGTGCACAACGCAAGTCACTAACAGCATCAAGTTTATTCTAATACTTTATTTTAATTGCCACAAGTGTTGAAAATGCTTTTTCGTACAAATAGGTGCTTGAAAAAGGCAAATATAAACGAAGTGCTTCCCGTGATACACGTGATACCGTGATTATATCAAAGTTGTATTTGGCAGAGGAATCATGTTTTATTTGCAAAGCATTTTTTTGAAGTGATTTATGTAGGGAATCTATATTGACATGGAATGGGTCAATTGACATTCTGAAAATACTATCGTCACAAGTGTTTGGGAAGTATTTCTAGAACTCTTCAAGTAGGCTCTCCAAATGGTTCCATATTTGGATTTTTAAACTTGATCCTTCATAAATCTCCTTGAAGCGCGTTTCTTGTGAGATTGACTCTAGAGAAACTCGAATAATTGCAGGGGTTTGCAATATTTTACGCCTCCAAAGTTGCAATTTCTCAATATACATCCTAATGGCATCACGATGAGTAACCATATTTAAGTCTCCACACTGCAGTTTTAGTTAGGTTAAAATAGTTGCACGAGTCAAAGATGTCTGACAAATAAGCCGATATTACTTGGGTATAATGTTTTTTGAAGGCCACGCTTAGTTCATTTTGCTTTAGCTGTTTCAAAAGGTTATTACTTCATCTCGAAGGTAAAATAATCTTGCCAACATGTTTCCGTTTGAGAGCCATCGTACTTCTATATGAAATAGCAGTGTTTTGTGATCACTTCCTAAATCTTCACAAAGAGTTTTAAACAGTCGAGTATTCAACGCACTGTTTTTTATGTAATTCATTACTTTAATATACAACTTTAAGATATGATTCAGTTCATTTAAATGAGTTTTTGCTACCATTTCTTGTTGATGTATAACACAATGTATCCCAGTCACATCAGCATTGTTCTCTCCTAATAATTGTACAAATCCTGAGCCAAAACCAATAATTGAAGTCGCGTCATTCGTAAATACACCGATCAGTTTTGCCAAGAGAGTTCATGTTTGTCAAAAAAAACTGACACTGCTTTCATAACATCAATGAAGCTTTTCTCGTGGTCTCCAACTCTGTAGAAAAGAGTAACTCGTCTTTCATTCTTTCGTTTTTAATATACCGAACATAAACAATTAACTAAAAACATTGTGCTATGTCTATACTCTTGTCTAGCTGAATAGACAAAAAATGGCGATTGGTTTACTGCATCAACTACCTAGTTTTGTATGTCTTCGGTCATATCGTTAATGAGACGTTTCACAGTATCGTCAGAAAGAGGTATTTGACATATAACTTTTGCTTACTCTGCGTTCCAAGAATAATACCAGCTGCCTGTAACAAACACGGTTTAACAAGCGTCTTTACAATAATATGGCAAGATTCTTTCTCATTCTTTTCTTTAGCAATGAGAAGTGATAGTTCATATAAATATTTAAGCACTTTTTCAGATGACTGAGCCATAGAACCAGTACTGTCCAACTTTATACGTTTTAAATTTTCAGATTTTGTAGAAAAAAATTCCTTTGGTTTGTCCTTAAAAGAGTTATGTTTGAATGACAAATGTCTTTCAAGACGATTAGGTCTCATTGCATTATTACTTACTACTTCTTACCAAATTACATACTGAGGATGTTCGACATTATCTTTACGCATACAAATAAACCCACATTTGATATAATCAGTATTATATTTGCGTTTCTTTGCTGAGCTTATCTTGACTACATAACTTCTCTCACTCAAATCATCGAAATCAATGAAAGTCAACTATGGTAATTAAAATTTTCCAACACATACGCATTTATATTGCAAAAATACGTGCAGGATAGGCCGAGGTATCTCAAACACTGAGTCACAATTGATTAGCTGGAGCTATCTCGCTGGCGTCTAGTGGGGGAAGAAAGGAGGAAGGCAGTGCTTGGAAACGCTCGGTTGTCAAATGCTCCATATTAAATGGCTCACATTCCATTCTTTCAAGCATTGGATTTCAAATTTATATGTAAAGTCAGTTGTTACAGTGGTTTGTTTTAATTTTTTAAATATCATGGTTAATTTATAATTTCAGAAAGACTACCTTAACATAATTTAATTTTCGACCTGTCTCGCGCTTCCCTGAGATGTCGTCACGTCCCCTAGTTTGGAAACCACTGGTCTAGAACAATTTAGATTTTAGGGGCAGTCGATAAAATAAATTTGTACCGATAAGTAAATAAATGTTATAAATTAATTGTATTATTGGTGTTAGTAATAGTACACTGTAAATCAATTAAAATAAGTACTAGAGGACTGCAAATGAAAATAAAAATAAACATTGCAATATGTAAACATTAAAATTTAAAATATTTTTAAAAATATTTATTTTTAGTATAGTTCTGAAACTATTTTCTTGAGACACGTATATATTAATTACTCTATTTAATGGAAATAAATCACACTTTTAATTAAATATTTTTTAAATAATAATATTATTTAAAAGACAAAATCAACTGGTTAGGTTTTGAGTTTATCCATTTTTCTCCTTACCTACATAGACTATCCAACAGAACGTTACTTGGCTTCATATCCCTGTGTATGACGTTACCAGAATGTATATATTTGATAGCCTTTAATAATTGGTATATGATATATCTCTTGTGGACGTCTTTCAGGATCGATTTTCTTTTAATGACGTTGTGTAGATCAGTTTCCATGTACTCAAAACCTAAATAAATGTCTCTGTTATTGGCAGCTCTAAAAATAACAACATTAGTTATAATTGTGTTCTAAAAAAACGACAAACTCATGTGGTAAGGAAAGCAGCTGGTATAGGTGATGAATACTTTAGTATTATTAAAATCATACTACAATCAAATTGCGAATGTAGAAAGAGATATCTAGTTTGGAGATCTTGGGTCACTACAACGCGGAGTACGACAGGGACGTAAAGTGAACCCCCTTCTCTTTAATATATACTTCCAACAAACTTTTTAATATACCCAGAAGATAGCAACGAGACATCAATGAATCAGATAACAGAAGTAAATGAATAATACGAAAAAGACCTGAATATAAAAACATCCATTAAATACTCAGCTATACATAGCTCAGTACGAATATAAGTAGGTAATAGAACCACTGTGAAGAGATACAATAATTAATACTAAAGGTTTTCGATATAAACAGACTTAAAAAAGCTGATGCTAATGATGAATCTATGCATTTTAATAAAAATCTTACCTGTGAACACTGTGCAGTTTAACAATATTAGGATGGCTCTTAAACGACTGTAGAAACATAATCTCCCTGTAGGTCCTTTGAGCATCGGTTTGATTTCTAAATGCATCGAAAATCTTCTTCACAGCCACTACTTCTTTGGTCTTTCGATCGATGGCTTTCCAGACGATGCCATAGGCCCCCTTGCCTAGTCGTTTCTGGATGTCGAACCGCTTCATGATGTGCTCGTCGATTTCGCTCATTTTGTCTTTGGATTGAGCCATCAGATAAACTAAAAGGTTTGTATAGGCTTGTTTTACAATATACAAAAAGAAAAATCTCTTGTGTATAACATTGTAAAGTAAAAGATACTTGTCAAACTGACATAAAACATCAAGTGTTTTAATCTTACATTATATTTCAACGTATTATAATTAATAATCAATGTCAGTTGATTAGTCATTGGAATGATTTAAGCTTCACATTAGAATACTTATGATTGCGTTCGGCAGCAAGTCGTGTGTTTTTTCTTCTCAAAAAACATCTAAAAAGTTTACAACACCTTTACAACATAAGTTTACAACATCTTTAAATTTTAGACTGTAAGTCCTCATGGTTGTATCAAGCAATAACAAAATATAATTACCAGACACGCAGTTAAATGAAATACAGGAACCTATTGAATTTATGGAAAAACAAAGAAGAAAAAACAATGTAGTCATGACTGGATTAGCAATTAATACATACGATCAAAGCCTTTTAAAATAGAAAATGAGAAACTGCATTAAACATAATTTGTAAATAAATGGCGAAATTACCATACTGGAATAGAAAACCTGCCTGATAGAATTAGTGGAATATGAAGAGAAGGTAAAGGTTATAAGAACTAAATTCAAACTAAGAAATGTTAAAGAAGGAAAAATATAGATCAATGACAATACTACGAATAAAAAGAAAGAAATTCAGAAAACAAATAAAAAACTTGAACGAGAAGAAAAATAGAAAGGAAATCATGTAAGAATTAGTGTAAATAAAATATGGATTAATAAGGTACGATGGAAATGGACACTTCTTCATCACCAGTGGAGTATCACAATGCGAAAGGGCAAATGAAGGAGTAGGCTGCTTAAAAAACAGTAATCTAATAAAATATATTAGAGATTGGGAATGCATTTTTGGAAGGATTCTAAAGATAAGACTGGTAACTGCTGAATATAAATTAGTTAATATTATCGTTTGTATGGAATAAACGATAACGAAAAAGCAGCTAGCAAAGGCTTATTCTGGGATAAGACCTCAGAGATAATAGACAGTTTAAAAGGCAAAACTATGGTATTAGGTGACCTTAAATGGTCTAGTGAGTATAAGAGATAAACATACCCCAGATGTATTAGGATCATATGGAGAAGAAATAAAAAACTATGGTACTCCCATGCCTTCGCATTTTCTTTTCCATGTAGTCAAGGCTTTCTCTAAGTATATTTTGAATAGGGTTGGAGAAGTGGAACAACCCTACAGGAACTCTCTTGTTGTGGTGAAGTCTCTTATGATTCTTGTTCCGATTTTACTGGACACTTTATTTTCTTTATACAGAATTATTGTAGCTTCTATGAATTCCATCTGTATTTCTAATTTGTACATTGCGTTCCATAGTTCTGACCTTCGTACAGAGTCATACGCCTTTCTTAGGTCCACAAATGCCAAATGTTTATCTCAATTTTTTGCTTTTTTCTTTTCCAACAGTTATTCCAGTGTGTATATGTGGTCTGTGCATAATCTTCCTGCCGTGAAGCCTGCCTGATCCTCCCCGATTTTGGCTTTTAGCGCTTGCTGTATCTTTTCTCGCAGTATCTTCCCATATAATCTTCCTATTGATAATATTACGCTTTTTCCTCTGTAGTTTTCGCATTGTTTTCTATCTTCTTTCTTAAATTTCTTAAATATAGGTATTATACATTATGCCTCCGTCTATTCCTTTGGGCGCTGTTCTCCATTTATGGTTTTTTGAAATATTCATTTTATCATCCGCTGTAATTTTTTTGAACTGTATTTTTATAAGCTTAGGTGAGATGTCTCCAGATTTCGGTGCTTTCTTATTTTTGATTGCTTTTATGGCCGTTCTCATTTCCCTATCTGTTATTTCTATTTATTGTTGTGGGGATCTGCTTCGTCTTTGCCTTTTTTCTTTTCCAATAAATTGTGACCTTTGTTCTGTTAACAGTTCCTTGTAATAGTCCTTCCATTCTTCTCCCTGTATATTTTCCAATTTAATTTTTTCTTTTGAGTTTTGTTTCAATCCTCTCAGTACTTTCCATGACTCCGAAGTTCTTGTCCCTCCTATGTATGTTTCAATATTTAAGCAGGTTCTTTCCCATTCTTCATTCTTTTATTGTGTTATTTTTTTCACTTCTCTATCTTTTTCTCTACATTCTTTATAAATTTCATCGTTGTTTGCAGTCAGCCATTTTCCGTATAGTTGCTTTTTTTCTCAATTATTCTTGTTTTTGGTAATTTATTTCATAATATTTCATAATAGTACTAGAGTTTTGTATTACATTTTTTATCGATTAAAGAATTCTCAGCCAATATTTTAAGATCAACAAACTTTCAAAAGGAATGAAAATTTAATTTTTAAAATAATAAACTTCTTGTATGAAAGGGCTGGTCTTTTTACCTAGAGTTAAATATTGTCCTATCTGACAATAGGATAACAATCTGTTTCAAGAACACAATATGATTGAAATGTCAGATGTTGGTAGTCCAGATTTCTTTCCTAGCTGGCGTAGTTATCCTACTGGACAAACAGTGTGACTTGTCGTCCACATTGGTGGTTCTAATTTTTTCTCACTGTCAAATAGACAGGCAAAATGATTTCATTTCAATGATCAATGATGCAAGGATTTAATAATAGGTAATATGTTGATTTACTTCAATCATCCGGCGCACAGCAACAACCCTTAATATCTCCCCATGAGTAAATCTTGAATCCTTAAGACTTGCTTAGTTGTATAAAGTGCATTTAAAGTTTATCTATTAAAATGTATATATTTTTATTATAAATCCGTGTATAAAACTGGATACCAAAAACCAAAAAAAGTGTGGATGTCTGCAGATACTTTTGACCTCGTTGAAGAACGTAGAAAACTTAAAATTGCTGGAATCGAGAACCCTCTCAGGAATTCCCAGTACCGACAGCTATTTAGAGCTATTCAGGCTGCTTGTAGACGAGACAAAAACAAGCACATAGAGAAAATCTGCAGAGAAATTCAACTACACGCCGACACAAATAACACCAAAGAACTCTTTGATAAAGTCAGACAACTCACACGTAAATTCAAGCAGAAATCTTGGTCTATCAAAGATGATGAAGGTAATGTACAGACGGATTTGGACAAGGTTATTGATGTTTGGAGGGCGTATTGTAAGTCTTTATACGCCAATACGGACCAGATGCCAGCGGACGCCCCGTTTGTACCTGACTGCCAGACCTCCACTTTCCATTCTCCTTCAACAGAGACACACCACACTAGTTTTGAGTCTGAATCTGACATACTTTTTTCCGAGGTGGAATTCGCTTTAAAAAGACTTAAGTTAAACAAAGCAGCAGGATATGATCTCATTACTGCAGACGTCTTGAAGCATCTTCCGGAATGTGGAGTGAAAATATTACATCGATTGTGCAATGAAATATGGCACACAGGCGTCTGGCCTGAGGATTGGAGAAAGACCATAATCATACCTCTTCATAAGAAAGGTTCAACAAATAATTGTAACAACTACAGGCTATTAGCTCTAATATCACACGCCAGTAAGGTGATCCTCTACATACTGCAACGGCGTCTAGAAAACTTCATAAGTTGGCAAATAGCACCTGAGCAGGCTGGATTTGTAAAGGGCAGAGGTACTAGAGAACAAATCCTTAATGTACGAAACATCATAGAAAAAGCCAGAGAATACCAGATCCCGATATTTATATGTTTCGTCGATTATACAAAGGCCTTTGATAATGTTAGATGGGACAAACTATGGAACATATTGACGACAATGGGTGTACCTAAACACTGACTCACCTTATTAGCAAACTGTATCAAGATAACCTGGCATATATTCGAATGGACGGATATCTGTCTGACAAATGCACTTTGGAGAAGGGAGTACGCGAAGGATGCGTTTTATCTCCCTTATTATTTAACATCTATTCGGAGTTCATAATGCGCAGAGTTTTGGATGGTTGGGAGGGAGGAGTAAACCTAGGTGGTGTTAAGATATCTAACTTGCGTTTCGCAGACGACACTACACTTCTAGCCTCTACTCCAGAAGAAATTATTAAATTATTAAAAAAACTCGAGGTAGAAAGTGCTAAATTTGGACTCATGGTTAACTACAACAAAACCAAAATCATGGTTATTGATCGCCAACAACAGTTTCCTGAAACCCAAACTATTGCGGGATGCGAGGTAGTCTCATCTATGATATATCTTGGAGCTCTAGTTAACAACACAGGCAGTTGTGAATCCGAAATTAGAAGACGCATTCAACTAGCAAGAGCAGCAATGAGTGAACTAAACGGGGTCTGGCGTGATCGTCACATTACTATGACAAACAAAAAGAGACTCGTTTCAACTCTGGTCTTTTCCATATTTTACTATGCATGCGAGACATGGACAGTCAAAGAATCAGATCGACGACGTATAGACGCCTTTGAAATGTGGACATGGAGACGCCTGCTTCGAATTCCATGGACGGCTCGCCGTACAAATATCTCGGTTCTGGATGAAATTAAACCGGATCAGCGTCTCTCCAGTACCGTTTACTCTAGAATTTTAAAGTTCTTTGGCCATATCCATCGAAGTGATCACAAAATGGAGCGGTTGGTGGTCCAAGGAAGGCCTCAGACTCAACGCCAACGCGGAAGATCTCCACAGCGATGGGCGGACATTACTAAAAAGCTTCTCAATAAACAGTATACTGAGGCAATACATATAACTGATGACCGCGACCAGTGGAGAAATATTATCAATCAAACTGTCCGAGCTGCTGAAGCCCAATTATGAACCACAACACATCTACTAAGATGTTAATGACTGTGATGATGATGTATAAAACTGAGAAGAAAATATTTGAATTTTTAATTGTTGATGTATTAGAGTATTTTTGTTACAATTTGACTTGTAAAGTCAATTTCTACAGCGTTTAATCTTAATAAATTTATAATTTACAAAATAAACTATTTGAGTTAGGTTTTCCAAACAACTTATTTATTATCGATCACAGTAACCTGAATCATAGCTAAAACATTGTAGTTTTTATTTATTTTTAAAATATAACAAAGTAACTTACCGAAAACTGTAAAAAATGGCAAACCAACTTCACTACAACCAAATTC